CTTTGACCCGGTTGGACGGCCATTCCGTGTTCGCTGGGTCACGTCCTCAGGGCCTTGGACTTGGCCGTGTCTGCGTCTCATTCTCCAGCCGTGGGTTCTGACGAAGGTCTCGGTCCAGGACGGAGTGGCTGCAGGGGTAGCTGGCCGGTCCCCGTGGAAGGGGCGCCCGCCTCCCCTGGTCCGCAGCCGCCATCTGGTTTCAGGACCTCATTTCAGGACAAGGAGGCTGGGGCCCCGCACTCCCTCGCTTTGCAGCATCAGTGACCGCCAGGACGGAGCCTGGAGAAGGTTCCGGATGACGCACAGCCTTGGGCACTGTCTCTGCTGCTAAAGGGAGTCGCTTCCTCATGCTGAGATGTGGCTCACACCCCATAAAACCCACCCCTTTCAAGTGCGCAGTTCAGTGGCAGTTAGTTCACTCACTGTGTCATGCACCCATCACCACTGTGGTTCCAGAACATTCCATACCCCCAAAGGAAGCCCTGTCCCCATCAGCAGTCCCCCCAACCCCTCCCCAGCCCCTGGCCCCCACGAGCCCGCTCTCTGTCTGGGGATCAGCCTGTTCTGGACGTTTCACGTCCATGGGGTCGCACGCCGTGTGTCCTTCTGTGTCTGCTTCTCTCCCTGAGCGTTGTGTGTGCAGGTCCGTCCGCGTGCGGCTGTGTCGGGGTCTCGCTCCTCCTGGGGCCAGGTTCCTGCCGCCTGGGTGTGTCTGACGCTTCTTTTATGGAGCAGGTCCCAGTTGGCAGAGGCGCCGGAAGCTCCAGGCCCTTTCTCCCGCTCCCCGAGTTGTCCCTGGGGACAGACTGCCTGTTCCTTCTAGAAGCGCCCTTGGCCTGTCAATGGATGGTCAGCCATGGCTGTGTAACAAACCGCCCCCAGCTTGGGGGCTTCCGGCAGGAGCTCTGCCTGCGTCTGTGCGTGGCCTCCAGCAGGGACCCGCCGTGGACCTCGGGCCTCAGGTGTCCCCGGGGTGGAGCCAGCAGCTGCCAGCCTCCCTTGCTCTCCTGTCCCTTTGTCACCGTCTGTTGCTCCGAGACGTCACGTGGCCGCAGGGGCCCCTCTCAGTCGAGCAGGAGTCTCTCCCGCAGTAGCTGGAGCGTCCGCGCAGTCTGCTCCCCGCGGCCCGGCCTGGCCAGACTGAGGGTTGGCGCTGCCCCCCGAGGGTCCCCAGGTCCCTCCGTGATTGCCGGCTGGCTCTGTGCCCGGGGTCGGGTCTGCAGTGCGGGAGCCCCAGGCCTGCCAGCCCCTTCCCGCTGCTCGGGGAGGTGAGGGCGCCCGGCCCGCCTGCCTTGTCCCTGTGCTCACTTGTTTGTGTGAGTCGCGGCCCGGCCCCCAGCTGGCAGCCGCCCCTGCGCCCCCCCCGCGGTGACTCTCCATCTCTGCGCTCAGGGAGCCCTGCAGGCGGCCGGCGGCGGGTGACAGCAGACCTGGCCCCCGTCGTGGGGGAGACACAGTGCACAAGCGCTGGGGGGTGCCATGTGCCGGGAAGACCGGGAAAGCTGGGGAGATGAGGAGGGTGCCCTCAGAGGGACTGTTTTGGGTGAAGTGGCCGGCGGATGGCCTCTCAGAGGGAGACACTTGAGCCAGGTCCTGAGTGAAGCAAAGAAGCAAACCCTGCAAGGGGCTTGGGAAGGGCGGTTCAGGTAAAGGGCACAGCTTGTGCAAAGGCCCTGGGGCAGGCCTGGGCTTGGCGTGTGGGAGGAACAGTGAGGAGGCTGTGTGGCTGGAGCAGAGGGAGGAGGGAGGGCAGGTCGTGCGGGGCCTGGGGGTCCAAGGGGAGGACTCGGCTTCTCCTAGAGGGAAGGGAGCCTGGAGGGCTGCGGGCAGAGGAAGTGGGACTGACTCACGGCTCCCAGGTGCCCTCTGGTGGGGGCCATGGGGAGCATAGACTGGGGGGCGACGAGGGTGGAGGGGACGGCGCTGGTCCAGGGGGCAATGCTGAGCTCGAGGAGCAGGGAGCAGCGGACAGATCTGCATAGGACAGATCTGCATAGACGCGGAAGGTGGAGCCGGGTGGTTTTGCTGAAGGACAGACGTTCAGGCCCTTCCCCAGGTCCTGGGGACCCACGTTCTTTCAGGAGCTTTCTCCGCCTCAATTTCTACATCAGACAAACGTGGAGAAGCTGCTGCTGCTGAGGCTTCTCTGTGTGCAGAGGGGAGAGGAACGGGTGTGTGTTACCATCCCTCAGTCAGTCAACAAGCACGTGTAGGTGTCTGCTGAGGGCGGGCCGCACACAGCTGAGCCCGGGGCGGGTCGGCCCGGCCTGCTTTCCGCTCTGCAGTGCCTCGCGCTCCCCTCCCCGGTCTATTTTTAATACTGAATTTCCTTGAAGCCAGGGTGGCTCATCAGCAGATAACCAGTCATGTCCCTAGAGGGGCGGACAGAAAAGGAGGAACTCCGGAGAGTGATGAGGGCGCAGACGCAGAGCGAGGGGTGTGACTGCAGGGGAGGTGCCCAGGGAGGCCCCTCGGGGGGGGAATGTGGGGCTGAGACCTGCAGGTCGAGGAGCCATCGTTGGGACGAGCTGGGAGGGTGTTTGGGCCAAGGGAGCGGACTGTGCCAAGGTCCTGGGGCAGGCCTGCTCATCCCCAGAGGCCACACGTCTGTACCCTCCCCGCCTCTGTGCTATGCTCCAGCTGCAGGCTCTGGTGGGGTCAGTGTGGCCACGGGTCCGAGGGTCACTGGGTGGCGGCCGCTGGGTGGCATGGCCGGGCAGGCAGGGGGAGCGGAGGGGAGGGTGCAGGGGCGGTGTGTGTGTGGGGGATCACGAGCTGGGCACCCACGCTCTCAGGCAGAAAGCCCCGGAATGAGGGACTGGGAGCTGCAGGTGGGCATGGCTGGGTGGGCTCCGGGCTCAGGGGCCCTGGGTGGGCCAAGGAGGGGACACCCTGGGCAGCCGGCTCATGTCTCTGATACCAGGGCCCCCAGACGAGGCCTGGAATGTTCCGCCCTGGTCCACACCAACTTCCTGCCTTCACTCCTCTTCCTTCCCCCACACCCCAGACGCAAACCAGCAATTGTTCTGCTGTGGGGCTGCCAACGAAAATATTATGTCGGCTTTCCAGCACCTTCCACCACCCGCTTGAGTCGGCCGGGCCTCGGGATGGCCAGGAGCCCCCTATGTCTGCCGTGGACACACGTGGCCCCTGTGACCCCCACGTGGCTGGCGTGGCCCCGGCCAGCCGCCATCAGCAGCCTTCCTGGCCCGGGCAGGTGACCCGGCCTCGGTCTGTCCTCTGGTGGGCCCTGTGGCCGTGACCATGGCCTTGGGCAGCCACCCCCCCAGCCTCAGTTTCCCTCTCTGGCCATCTCCTGGGGGTCTCGACACTGGTGCCTGCACAGGTGGTTGGCTCAGGGACTGTGGCTGCGGCTGAAAGGACACGAGTCCCCACCCGGGTTGGCCTGGCCACGCCCACAGCTCAGTGTCCTCTCGGCTTGGTTTTTGTTAATTATTGAAAGATAGTTGATAAATCATAAAATTCACACTTTTATGTGTACAAGTCAGTGTTTTTTGTGTCTTTAGAATGTTGTACGACCGTCACACCTCTGATTCTAGAACATGCCTGTCCCCCCCAAGGAAAACCCGTCCCCGTTAGCAGCCCCTCCCCCTCCCCCAGCCCTGGCCGGGCGGGCGGGTGTTAGAAGAGGACAGAGCAGGTCAGTGAGCCTGACCCCTGACCCCTCACCTGGGCCTGCCACACCTGCGACCCCCAACCTTTCCCTCCCCTACCCGCACCCCCGTCCACCCTCGGGGCTCCAACCCCGTCTGCACCCGACGACGCCGACGCCCACAGTCCTGACTCCCGCCCGGGCCTCCCCTGAGCCCCAGATGCGGGGTCCAGCGGCCCCTCGACGGGCCCCAGTGGTGGGGGGGGCTCCCGCTCCGCCCGGCCAGGCTGCCCCCGCCGCCCCCCGCCCCCGGCTCCGTCCTTCAGCTGATGCTCCGTCCGCGTCCGGAGTCGCTTGCCGCCTGCTTCTCGCCCCCGCCTGCGCCCGCCCCCCGCGTCGCCTGGGACCAGCGCCGGCCCCTCCTCCTGGTCCCCGCAGCCTGAGCTCCTCGCGGCCGCCGCCAGAGGGCGCCCGGAGCCCGAGTCAGGGCCGCCTCCGCCCGCCGCACCCCAGGCTCCCGTCCCTGGGGAGAAGCCGAGTCCTCCTTGCTGACCGGCACCCGACCTGTGCCGCGGGTCGTCTGCGGGCTCCCACGCCCTTTTCCAGACCATTCTCCGCTCCCCGTCCCGGACTGGGAGCCCTTGTCTGTCCTCGTCTCCACTTACCTCCCCGGAGGCGACACCTGTAGACACTCAGTGTGTGTTTCATGTTGCACCTGTCACACATCCTCATACCCTTGGGCTAAAACCACACGGTCCTGGGGTCAGGAGTCTGACAGGGTCCCACGGGGCTAAATTCCCCATGAGGGCAGGGCGGGTCCCGGAGGCCCCAGGGGAGGAGCGTGTCCCGCCTCCTCCAGCTTCCAGAGGCGCCGCATCCTGGGCTCGGGGCCCCTTCCTCCGTCTGCACAGCCCGCACTGCAGCGTCTCCATCTCGGCCTCTGACCCTGGGATGACCCTGGGCCCCGGTGGGCTGCGCTGTCTCCCCCCTCATCACCTGATTCCTCCGTGGCCCAGGCGTCTCTGGTGAGGGCGCCGAGGGACATGGCTTGTGTCAGTTCAGAGTCACGCGGTTGTCTGTGACCGAGAACCTGATGTCTTCGGGGTAAACAGCGGCCTAGAGTCTGGCACCCTCTCCCCGCTGCGTCTCCCCTCCTCTGGGGAGGCCCAGGCCCCGGCCGTGGCCTTGGGGGCGCCTGGTGTCCAGCCCTCCCACCGTCTCGGCCTGTCCTGTCTCTGTGCCCGTTTCCCACGAGGGGTCCCCATGACCGTCCAGGGGCCCAGGGTGCCGAGTGAGGTGGTGGGTGCTGCGCCCGCGTGTGAACGGGGGACATGGGCGGCCTGGGCCCGCTGCCCGAGGTCTGAAGTCTCTCCCTTCTCGCCCTCAGGTTTGGCCCAGAAGAAGACGGCCCCAACGGAGGTGAGTGTTCCCTGGGCCCCCGACCCACCTCCTTCCAGAACATGGATGAGGGAGCGCCTGGCCCTGCCTGTGTCCCGCTCTGTGGCCTCAGGCAACTCGCTGCCCCACTCTGGGCCCAACACTAACACATGTTGTCAGGCGGGTGACAGTCGCATCTGTCCTGCCAGCATCCTGGTTTGAGGGTGGGTGCAGGGGGTGAAGCCTGAGGACCAGCCCTGGGCCCACGAGGGGGACAGGAAGGCTGGGGGGCCGGAGAGGGACAGGGAAGCCAGGTGCACACGGGGTCCCCGAGGGGCTCCTGGAGGGCCTGGTGGGTTGGGGCTGTGTGGACGTGGTGCCTGGTGGCAGCACCCTACCCTGCACAGGCGTGGTGGTCCCTCCCTGCCCCATTCCTGCCATCGGCCCTTCTCCCGGCCGAGCCCGTCTGGGCCGCCGTCCCCGGTTCAGGCGCCGCAGTGCCGTCCCCGGCCTTTGCCGTCTCTCCTGAAAGTGGCCTACGGGGTGTCTGGCCCTGTGTTCCCATGCAGCTGTCCTAGCAGGGGTCCCCCACCGTCCCAGCGGGGAGTCTGGGTCCCCTCGGAGCCCGCTCTCCTCCCCCGGAACGCCTCTGCCACACCAGGGCCTCAGAGGAGGGCTTGTCCACCTGCTGGGTCGCGGGGGCGTCCCGGCAGAGGGCTGGGGAGCAGGGGCGCCCACTCCTGTCTGCTCGGCTCTGGTCCCCAAGCTGGCGCGTGTCCCCCAGGCCCCCATGGCCCCTGTCCCCAGCCTCCCTGCAGGGTCGCACAGGGGGGTGGTGGCTTCCACACGAGCTTGTTTGCACGGCCCGTGTCACGTCTGCCACAGTCCCCGTGGGCCCGCGGGACCCCCTTGGGGAGGAGATGCTGTCACCATTTTTCCAGCCCAGGAGTCTCACCTGGCTTGTCCTGCCCCCAGGGGACACTGGGCCATGTCTGGGGACATCTGTGGCTGTCACACCGGGTGTCTCCTGGCATCGAGAGGGTGGGGCTGGGAATGCCCCCAGCGCCTAGGACGCCCCCCGGGAGTGACCCGGCCCCATGTTAGCCCTGCCCAGGGGGCCCTGAGCTGAGCTCCTGGCTCTTCTCCAGGAGTCAGCTGTCCTGTCTGGTGGGGGCCCCTCTGGAAGTGGGGTGTTACCCATGGGGTGTGGCCGGTGCCCTGGAGCCACCCACACCCGCCCTGGGCTCCGGCTGAGCACGGCGACAAAGCCCCTTTCTTGTGAGGATTTCTAGAACCTTCTGGCCCTCCTTGCTGACCTCCAACCCCTGTTTCCTTTTCTCCAGGCCCCACTGATGACCGGACAGCCAGGCCCCGGCCATGGGAAGAAGCTGGGCCACCGGGGTGTGGACGCATCCGGCGAGACCACCTATAAGAAGGTCCCTCCTCTGCCCTGAGCCAGCGGGGGGCGGGGAGGCTGGGGGCTCCCAGGGGTTCCGGGGGCCATCTGTCCCCCCCACAGGGTCCATGAAGCTCAGGCGCGGGCCATGGTCACAGTCGGCTGGAGACAGACGCTCTAGTTACAGGGTCCTCCCTGCGGGACCTCAGTCCCTCGAGGTCCCTGCTGCCTGTCACTGTCGTGGGCGGCCCGGCCGTGATCCGAGGCTGCCCTGCCCGCTGGCTCCAGGAGCGGCCTGTGGCCTTGGGGGGCCAACAGCTCCCACCCTGCCCCTCAGGAAGCAGCCAGGCTGAGGCCAGGCCAGGGCCCCCCACCGTCTCCCGCCTGCCTCAGTTGCTCCTTCCTGCTACGACTGGTCTGCCCAGAGCTGGTGCGTGCGCCACCTGAGCCGTCCCAGAAGTGTGCAATTAGATGGTCACTGGTGCACTCACAGGGTTGTGCAGCCATCCGCATGTCAATTCCAGAACTTTCCATCACCCCAAAAAGCACCCCTGCCCCCATTAGCAGTCACTCCCCCCCCAACCCAGCCCCTGGCGCCCACGAGCCCGCTCCCTGTCTGTGAATCTGCCTGTTCTGGACGTTTCCCGTCAATGGGGTCACACACCGTGGGTCCTTCTGTGTCTGCTTCTCTCCCTGAGCGTCGTGTGTGCAGGTCCGTCCACGTGCGGCTGTGTCAGGGCCTCGCTCCTCTTCACGGCTGCGTGGTATTCCAGCGTGTGGGGGGACACATGTGTGTGTCCATCGTCCACTGATGGGCACTGGGGTTGTGCCCACCGTTTGGCGGCTGTGAACCGTACCGCCGTGCACGTTTGTGTACAAGTTTTTGTGCAGACACGTGTTTCACTTCTCTCGGGCACACACGTAGGAGTGGAAGTGCTGATCCCATGGAAACTCCGTGTTTAACCTTTTGAGGACCCAGCAGACTGTTCCCCACGTTGGCTGCACCACTTCCGCTCCCGCCGTCCGTGCACGAGCCTCCAGTCTCTCCCGTCCCTAGCGTCACTGTTGTCTGACTTTCCGATCCGTCTTGTGGGTGTGAAGCAGTCCCCCACTGTGGTCTTGATTTGCATTTTCCTGGGGACTGATGGCGTCGAGCCCCTGCTCCTGTGCCCAGTGGCCGTCTGTGTCTTCCCCGGGGAGCGTGTGTTCAGTCGATGGCCTCTGGAAGGAGTTGATCACGGAGAGCTGAAGCGGCCCCTCGGTGCAGGGGTTCAGGCGAAGAGGCCACTGATGGTGGGGGCCCGGGACGGGGAAGGGCAGCCTACACGAGCTAATGCGTGCAGCCCTGGGAGAGCCGGGCCTGTCCTGTCCACGGCTGGGGAAACCGAGGCAGGGAGGGACGATGTCCCTTGCCCATTGTGACAATGGGAATCCTCTAGAAAGCAGATAGAAGGGACTTGGTCTACAGAAAGGAAGTTGGGGCATCATTCTATAAATTGTGCTCCTCTCCAAAAAAAAGGAAACCCTGGACAGACCCCTGCTGTGTCGAGGCAGTTTTGAGATGTTGGAACCTTCCAGAACCTCTATTGAAAACTGGCTTGGGGCCGCACGAAGCGGTGTTGGCGTCTTGGCCAGGCCAGTCCCCTGCTGCAGGTTGTGCAGGCCGAGGCCAGCGGGGCTGTGACAGTGCCAGGCAGGCGGCCTCGGTGTGAGCCGGGTCGAGCCGCAGGCTGGACGTCTGCCCCAGTGCCCCAGTCCCGAGGGGCTTCTGGTTCTGCCTCTCCCTCCGGGGACCGAGGGCCGGGCGGGGGTCCTTCCGGGGGTCCTGATGCGGCCCGCTTTCCCCACAGACCACGTCTTCCACCCTGAAGGGGGCCATCCAGCTGGGCATCGGCTACACCGTGGGCAACCTGAGCTCCAAGCCGGAACGCGACGTGCTCATGCAGGATTTCTACGTGGTGGAGAGCATCTTCTTCCCCAGGTGGGCCAGGCCCCGCCCGCGGCGCCAGCAGCTCGGTCCTCCCACAGCCCACCCTGCAGCCACTGTCATGACACGCACAGCCTTGCCTGCTCCCTGAGCTCCCGTCTCCGCTGAGAACTGCCCTGGTCTCTGACCCTGTGTCAGTCAGGGTGTTAGTTTGATAGCAAATCAGAGAGATGCAATATGAAAGTGGTTTTAAAAAACCAGGAAAAGGAAAGATACAAGTTTGTTTTTCTCACACACACAGAAAACTAATAGACAATCCAGGGCTGGTCAGGGGGCTCCACAGTGTTGGGGTCCAGGGTTCTTTCTAGTTCTTCTGCCATCCTCAACATGCAGCTTTTCTAACCAGTGGTCCTAGGTGGCTGCCCAGGCTCCTGCCATCACAGCTGCATCCGCCAGCAGGAAAGAGGAGAAGGAGACAGGGAGCACATGCCCCTTCCCTTTAACAGCACGGCCAGGGAGCAACACATGGGGCTTCGGTTCCACTCACAGCTCAGTGGCCAAGCGCAGTTGCGTGACCACCCCTCCCTGAGGAGACACTGGGTACTGTGGTGTGATTCTGGGTGGCCGTGTGCCCAGCTGGCATCATGGGCCCCGTTGCTAATGGGGGAAGGGAGGGTGGATACTGGGGCCAGCCCAAGGCCAGCCACGGCCACATTGTCCCTCGGGAGCCCCGTGTGGGTGGGTCGCGCTGGGAAGCCTGGCGGCTCAGCAGCGGGAGGCACCGTCGTGGCCTGGGCAGGTGGGGCCGTCGGGGCAGCGGGAGGCCACACCGCCACCATCCCTCACCGCGTCCCTCCTCCCGCAGTGAAGGCAGCAACCTCACGCCCGCCCACCACTTCCAGGACTTCAGGTTCAAGACCTATGCGCCCGTCGCTTTCCGCTACTTCCGCGAGCTCTTCGGGATCCGGCCGGACGACTATCTGGTGAGTGTGTCCGTCGGCTGTCGCTGTATCAGAGTCACCGCGGGCATTGTGGCTGAGGACATGACCTGTCCGTCTCTGCACGGTTCCCAGGGGCCGGGAATCGGGCCGTGGCTCTGCGGGGTCTTGGCTCGGGGCCGTAGTCGGGGGTGGGCTGGGGTCTCCCCTGAGGCTCTACTGGGGCCAGGGCCGCGTCCCAGCTCATGTTGGTGGGGACTCGGCCCCTTGCTGGCTGTCGGCGGGGCTGTTCCTCCACGGCTGGGAGAGGCTGCCGGCAAAGCAGACGACACAGTGTCCACGAGCTCATCTCGAGGGGATGGTTCCCTCTGTGGGCCCCTTTGTTGTTAGGAGTATGTCACAGGTCACGCCTGCAGAATCGGTTGATACACGTGACGGGTCTCCGTCTGCCGTCCCGGGGTCCTGGGGTCCCCCTGTGGTTGGGGGGCCTGGATGATGGGCTCTGACTCCTCCTCCTTGCTCTGTGGGAAGCTGTGCCCTCGGCCGAGGCCGCATCCTTCCAGGGACAGCCAGGACTCACTGGGCCAGGGCGCAGGGACCCCGACAGCTCGGCTCTGTCCAGGTGCCGAGGAGTCCCGGCGCCACGGCAGGGGCTCGGACTGTAGCGTCCGTGTCGCACCGGCCAGCGCACGGCTGTCCCCCTCCAGCCCTGTCGCAGCCCCAGCAGACGTCCCCCATCCTGCCAGCCCCACAGAGCAAGGACGAGGGTCGTGTGTGCAGCTGGTGGCTCTGCAGTGGGTTCCCTGGGTCCCAGGTCGCTGTGTTCCCAGGAGTGGACGCCCGTGGCGCTGTTTACAGCCCCAGGAGGCCGGCCCGTGTCCATCAGTAGGGGGTGGACAGACGAAAGGCGCCTCCGCAGGGTGGGGACGCGGGGACGGCTGGGTCTTGTCTGGAACTTGATGAAAGAAAGTGCAGGGACTTCAAGTCTGGGCCCCCGGGGCATCTGGACAGCGTGTTCTGGAGGGGACGCCTGGCCTCCGTGGGTGGCTGTGGCCGCGCGATTCCCCAGCCACGCTGAGGGGGACCCCACCGCACGCCAGCACATTGGGGTTCCCTGGGCGGGACGGCTCTCAGCACCCCTGGGAGTGGACCCATCCCTGCTTCTCCCCGTGTCCTCCCCGTCTGCCCGTCCTGGGCCGGCACTGAGAAACAGCCAGTGTTCATGCTTGGCACTTACCCTGCGGCAAACGGCCCGGTGGGGACACCCCGTGGCCTCGTCCCGGTATACCGGTGGTGCTCAGGTAGGATTAACCGAGCACCCAAACAGCCTTTACCTCAAAAGGGACCCCACTGGCTCAGTAGCTGAAAAGGCCAGAAACCATGGCCTGCAGGCTTTGCTTTTCCCTCATCTGCTCAAGAAACTGAGCACCTACTGTGCGCAGAGCACCGTGGCAGTGCTGGGGAGCCTCAGTGGCCAGAATCCCGTAGAAATCGCTGCCTCCACAGACCTTACTGTCTAAGGGTGGGCGGGAACGTGTGGAGTGATGGACAGTACACACGGAGGTGGAAGAGATGTCAGGGGGAAGGGCCAGGGGCCGGGTGGGCCGGGAGCCGGAGTGCAGGCTGCCCATCAGGGACGCAGCTTTCCTCTCTCTCTGTCATTTTGGTTGCATGGCTTCCATCCTGAGGGTCACCTCATGGTCCAGTGTGGCTCCTGGGGTTCCAGCTATCACAGCAGCATTCCAGGTGGGAAATGGGTGGGAAGGAGAGAAGGGCACAGACAGAAGGTGCACCAGCTTCTGTCACCCGTCTAGGGAGCCTTTACCGAAATCCCACTCAGCAGCGTCTGTGACAGCTCCTTGGCCAGGTGCGTTGGTAGCCTAGTACGATAGGGTGTCTGTCACTCACAGGAGAGGGAATACATTGCAGTAGACCACATTCAGGCTGCGGGGTTAGCCGGGTTCCAGTCCTTGCTGTGTGGCCTCTGGCCCATCAGTCCCCCTCTCTGAGCCTCAGTTTCCTCATCTGTGAAATGGAGCTGACAGGGACCGGTTCCAGGGCTGTCTGCTGGCCCCGGGGCCTGTGGGGGTGATCCGTGACCTGCCCCGTCCCCTGCCCACCCGCCCTTTCAGTACTCACTGTGCAACGAGCCCCTGATCGAGCTGTCCAACCCCGGCGCCAGCGGCTCGCTCTTCTATGTCACAAGCGACGACGAGTTCATCATCAAGACAGTGATGCACAAGGAGGCCGAGTTCCTGCAGAAGCTGCTGCCCGGCTACTACATGGTGGGCGGCGGGGGCTCTGGAAGGGTCCGGGGGCTGCCCTGGGCCTGGGGGGGCGGGGCCTCGCGGGGGGCCGGGGAGGCGGCAGCCCGCTGGCCCGGCTCCTGCACCGACCCGCCCCCGCCCCCCCCAGAACCTCAACCAGAACCCGCGGACGCTGTTGCCCAAGTTCTACGGGCTGTACTGCGTGCAGTCGGGCGGCAAGAACATCCGCGTGGTGGTCATGAACAACGTGCTGCCGCGCGTCGTCAAGATGCACCTCAAGTTCGACCTCAAGGGCTCCACCTACAAGCGGCGCGCCAGCAAGAAGGAGAAGGAGAAGAGCATCCCCACCTACAAGGACCTGGACTTCATCCAGGACATGCCCGAGGGGCTGCTGCTCGACGCCGACACCTTCTCCGCGCTCGTCAAGACGCTGCAGCGCGACTGCCTGGTGAGCCACGGGTGGACGAGGAGCCCGGGGTCAGAGGGGCCCCCTGCTGCGGGGCCGAGGGCGCGTCGCCGAGGGGGTCTTGCGTCTCTGAGCCTCAGTTTCCCATCCGTGAGACGGGGACGCGCGCGGCGTGCAGGACAGGGGGCTGTGTTCCCCCCGCGGGCACAAACCCACAAGCCCCTGACTTAAAGCACGCTCCCTCCTCCACGGTTAGGGGCTTTTGGGGGAAAGGGCGCCCGCCGGGCTCCTCGACAGCCCCCAGTCTCAGCCCCCACCATCCTTGCAGAGAGAGGCGCCCTGCCCGGTGGGGCGCCCTGCCCACGGCCCATCCGGAGGTCCCTGTGCTGGTCTCGCCTGGGGGCCTGGAGCTGGGCGGGGGCGGGGCAGGGCGGAGTCTGGGGGTGTGGCCTGGGGCGGGGGCGGGGCCTAGGGTGTGGCCGGGACAGGGCCTCCCTGTGGCTGGGGCGGCGGGGGCTGGCGCCTGGGTGGGATGGGGCGGGGCATGGGGGCGGAGCTTGGGTGGGGCGGGGCCTGGGTGGGCCTGGGGGTGTGCCCGGGGGCGGGGCCTCCCTGTGGCTTCGGGGGGGGGGCCTGGGGTGGGGCGGGCGCGTCCTGACCGCGGCCCCGGCAGGTGCTGGAGAGCTTCAAGATCATGGACTACAGCCTGCTGCTCGGCGTGCACAACATCGACCAGCAGGAGCGCGAGCGGCAGGCCGAGGGCGCGCGGAGCCCCGCCGACGGGAAGCGGCCGCTGGGCCAGAAGGCGCTCTACTCCACGGCCATGGAGTCCATCCAGGGCGGCGCGGCGCGCGGCGAGGCCATCGAGGCCGACGACACGTAGGTGGCGCGGCCGGCGGGCGGGGGCTTCGGGCTCTGGTCAGTCAGCGGGTCAGGGCCCGGGCCGGCCAGGTGGAAGCGCAGCCGGCCCTCCCTCCCGCTGGGCCCATCGTGTGCAGCAAAACCAGAAAGGGTGGGAGGTGGCCTCAGAGGAGGGGGGACGAAGGGGACCTCTCAGAGCCAGACAACCAGCCTAGAAGCCGCAGGGACAGTTTCCCCAAGATGAGGGCAGTGGGACGGGGACAAAGCTGAAGAAGTGAGAGAGGAGTGTTCCCTGGTGCACCCACCCAGCCGGTGCCCGGCTCCTGCCCCACGGGCTCAGGGTTTGGTCGGGAGACACACATGTGGGGTCCCCCTCGGCTCTGTGGACGTCAGGCCAGGTCATCTCTGGGGGACCATCCTGGGTGCTGTGGGGTTTGAGCAGCATCCCTGGCCCCCACCAACTTGATCCCAGCAGGTCCCCCAGGGTGACCCCCACAGATGTCCCCAGACATGCCCAGTGTCCCCCAGGGGGCAGAGCCGCCCCAGGTGGGAGCTTCTCCTATAGACAGGTGTCAGCATTGTCCCCTGGTCACCGTGCATGGACCATGTGGGGAACCACTGGAGCCTCCCCGTCCATTACCCTGTTCAGTCCTCATGGGCTGTGGAGGAGGAGGGTGGCGCCCCATCTTCAGCTGGGGAGCACGCTCACAGGCTGGGCCGCCGTCCAGGTGCACAGCCAGCTACTGGTGCGGCCAAGGCTTGACCCAGCCTGGCCGCCACACTAGGCCATCAGCTGCAGGGGACCGAGGAGGAACAGGTCCCAGGGCCCCAACTGGAGCGGGGTGGGGGGGCAGCGACACGTGCAAAGGCCCCGCTCCGCAGGCCCATCCTCAGACCGTCTTGGCGTTCGTAGGGTCCGCGTGGGGCCTGGCAGGGGACGGCAGGGCGAGCAGGTGAGCTCCGCCGCCTGGAGTGCAGGGAGCAGGGCCTGCGGGCCTGGGGTCGGCGTGGCTTCGGACAGCCGCTGCGTGTGTGACCTCGCTAACCATGCTGGGCCGGCTCGGGTGGGTGGGCCTGGGGCTGAGTGAGGCAGTTAACTCCCCAGCCTGCGCCGAGAGCCCTCGTGGCCGCCTGGGGTGCCGTGTGCATGTGCCTGCATGTGTGTGCAAGGTGTGCTGCAGGTGTGTGGGTGCCTGCATGTGTGTGCACGCACGCGTGTGTGCGCCTCGTCTCAGTGCCAGGACCTCTCGCAGCCTCGGGTCTCCAGCAGTGAAGTTGGGAGGTGGCTGGGAGAGGGGCCCCCTCCCACCCAGGGCCAGGGAGAGCTCCCCGGCGCCGGGACCCTCCGTGGGGCATGGGGATGCTGAGCCTCGGGCTCCTTCCCTTCGGGCGACTCCTCCCTGCGTCCCTGACTTCCATGTCCCCCGCAGTCCCTGGCCCCTGCCCGGCCTGGGGGTGCTCACGGGCTCCCGGCCCCTCTCTCCCCAGGATGGGCGGGATCCCCGCTGTGAACGGCCGCGGGGAGCGTCTGCTGCTGCACATTGGCATCATTGACATCCTGCAGTCCTACAGGTGGGTGCCCGCACCCACCTGCCCGCTCACCCCCAGCAGCAGCATGCCGTCTGGTTCAAGGCTTCCTCAGCCTTCCGGAAGGCTCCTGCTGGCCACCCAGAGCCCGAGGGGTATTCTGAGAGGGTGAATGCTGAGGGGGGTGCTTTCCCCACTGTAGACTCAGGGCGTCCTGGAGGGCTGCCTGGAGGAGGCGCCCTGCTCCCCAGCCCAGCATAGTGCGGTGCCATGGTGCAGGCAGGGGGCTGACTCTAGCAGAGGGGCCCAGGAAGGAGAAGGGAGGGATGGGCTCCTGAGGCGCTGGCTGGCTGTCCGCATGGCCTCTTCTCTCCCTCCCCCAGAGTGGCGCTGGTGGGAGCCGCCAGCAGGTGGGGAGGGGACAAGGGGACGCAGGAAGAGGAGAGGTGGCCCCTGGCTGGCACAGCATGTGACCTCAGTTCCTGAGTCCAGAGCTCTTCCACGCACTCGATGCCAGGAGCACTGCTAGTCGTGACACGGATGTCCCCGGATGTGGCCCAGTGTCCCCTGGGGCAGGCCCACCCTGGTGGACGCCCCCTGGTTCAAGGGTTTGGCTGACGTTCTGGGCGTTTCCTCTGCAGGTTCATCAAGAAGCTGGAGCACACCTGGAAGGCCCTTGTTCACGACGGGGTGAGTCTTTCTTTCTGTCAGCCCACAAACTGGTGACTGTCTCCCCGGGCCAGGCGAGGTGCTGGAGAACCGAGATGCGTCCCCCTTCCTGGAGTCACTGTCCAGTGGGGTGGCCCCATGACCAAGGCCAAGGGTTCAGGGCCATGATGGGGAAGCACAGGCGGCTGGAGGAGCCCTGAAGGGGGGGTCAAGCCATCGGTGAGGAGCACAGGAGGGCTTTCTGGAGGAGGGGACCCTAAGCTGATTTGGAAAGATTTTCAAGGACAGCCTGACCAGGGAGGTCAGGGGCCAGCCAGGCAAAGAACATTCTGGAAACACATGACATGGAGGGGTTCTCGGGCAGGACCACGCAGCTCTGACCCCTGTTGCCACACAGGGACATGGCCCACTTCGGCAGAACGTCTCAGCTGTTTGAGAAACGCTTGACAGGAGCTCTTTCCCCATGGGTATCGCCCCCGTGTAAATGCTGGCTGTGGGTTGTTTTTTTTTTTTCCAAAGATTTTTTATTTTTTTCCTTTTTCTCCCCAAAGCCCCGTGGTACATAGTTGTATATTTTTAGTTGTGGGTCTTTCTAGTTGTGGCATGTGGGACACCGTCTCAGCATGGCTCGATGAGCGGTGCCATGTCCACGCTCAGGGTTCGAACCGACGAAACACTGGGCCGCCTTCAGCTGAGCGTGCGAACTTAACCACTCGGCCACGGGGCCGGCCCCTGTGGGTTATTTCTTAACGTGAAGACCAGGAGGACCATGCATCGGAGGCCCAGGCAGCCTGCACCCCTCGTCCAACTGTGCCCACAGCCAGCTCCAGCCACAGGCGGATGCCTCTCCCCATGGCCGTCTTCAGACCAATTCTTACTAAAGTGCTGGGGGCTATCTGTGTACCTGCCATTGGGAAAACCCAAGATCTACCCAGCCCCACACCCCTCGGAGGGTGTTCGGAGGGTCCAGGTGGAGCTTCCTGAATGTGCATCGAGCAAGTCCAGGTGGCAGGTGGCCCTTTTGTGGGGTCGCAAACCCACAGCAGACAGGAGAGCTGCCAGGTCCTAAGCAGGCCCCCGTGACCCCCAAAGCAGGATTCAGGTCAGCTCCAGGGGTCCCCCAGTGCTGATCAAAGTGGCCCTGCAGGTATGAGCAACCTGGGGCAGGTGGGGTGACCCTGGAGCTGGGCCACGTGCTCCCTGTGTTGCCACACATCCCCAGGCGTTGCCCTCCCCTGGCCCGGGCGACAGCCAGAGAGCGAGGCAGAGGGTGGGGTGCGTCCCTGTGAGGCAGGAGGCCGCTCCCTGTGCCGGCCCCCAGCCCTCGGCCCGAACGGGCACGTGGCCAGCCTCCGTGTAGGTGAGCTCGGGGACTGTCATCTCCATCCCGGGAGGCCGCGTGTCCAGATGGGTTCTTTTATGTTACAGCAGGGGGCACACTGGCCATGTCTGGGGACATTTGTGGCTGTCCACAGGGCCTGGGGGAGACTGGGTCCTCGGGAACACGGAGTCTCCACCTTGGGGTCCCAGCATTCATTGAGCACTGACTGTGTGCTGGGCTCCCCGCCTTACACAGATTCCCATCATTGCAGCCCATTGAGCACAGCAGTCCCGTCTGCGGTGGCACAGACAGAACAGAAGCCCCCGGCGGCGAGCGCTGGGCCGGGCCGGGCTGCCTGGCCCTGGGGAGCCGCTTCCGTCGCTGCGGCCGCCGGGCTCTGCCGTGGGGCCAGCGCGGCTGTGTGCCAGTAAAACTTGACTCAGCGAGCGGCCGCCGGCCATGCTGTGCCAACTCTGGCTTCAGAGAGCCTCTCTGTTTCTTTATTTTGATATTATTCACTTCTTTGAATAACTTTTTATTCACACGGTTCAAGAAATTAAAAATTCGGATGGGTTTATAATAAAGAACCTTTCTTGGGGCTGGCCCCGTGGCCGAGTGGTTAAGTTCACGCGCTCTGCTGCAGGTGGCCCAGTGTTTCGTTGGTTCGAATCCTGGGCGCGGACATGGCACTGCTCATCAAGCCACGCTGAGGCAGCGTCCCACATGCCACAACTAGAAGGACCCACAACCAAGAATATACAACTATGTACCGGGGCGCTTTGGGGAGAAAAAGGAAAAAATAAAATCTTTAAAAAAAAAAAAACACCTTTCTCTCATGGCCTCCCTATCCCTGGTCCTGACCCTTGGGCCCCTCCGGGAAGCCCCGTGCCAGGGACCCATCTCCCCTCCACACAGCGGTATCCTGGGCTCCCTGCGGCACACGGGGTGCTGGGTGCCCGGCGCTCACACCCCCTCCCTTCCCAGGACACCGTCTCCGTGCACCGGCCCAGCTTCTACGCCGAGCGCTTCTTCAAGTTCATGAGCAACACAGTCTTTCGGAAGAATTCCTGTGAGTTGCCTGGGCCTTTGAGGGGAGGCATCAGGGGCTGTGTGGGAGGATTGGGGGCGGCCGAGAGCAGGGTGCACCCGAGCTCCCCGTCCTGCCACTCGGGCAGCCTGGCCTCGGCCCAGAGAGCAGGGGATCAGGGCGCCGCCCCACATGGGCGCAGCACAGGGCCTAGCCTGCTGTCCTGGCCCTGCCTTGTCCTGGCTGTGTGATCTCGGGCCAGTGACGCCCCTCTCCGTGCCTCAGTTTCCCCATCTGTACAGAGCCGTGAGGTGAGATGTGTTTACACATGGCAAGTGGGCCTGGCCCAGCACAGTGCTCAGTTGGCGAGACTGCCTGCACCTCTCGCCATCGGCAAGGCAACACAGCCTCAGTGGGCACCAGGGTGGCTGGTCATCCGCCAGCCCGGGCGCCATCCGGGAGGGCACAGGGTGATCGTGTTGGCCCCGCCTGTGGGTGCCCTCGGGAGGCCCCATGTCTATCTGGGCCTCTAGAGTCCTGGACCCCGGGCCGGGCTCCCATTGCTGCCTGAGAGGGTCTTTCTCCCCACGGGTCTGTCGTCTGCCCTCCCCCTCGCCCCCAAAAGGCAGGGTGCTGGTCGGCCTCGTCACTGTGTCCCCAGCATCCAGCCCGGGCCTGGCACACAGCACGTGCTCACTGAGTGTCTCTGGGCACAGCAGCAGCCTTAGTGTGCGCCTCACTCTCCGGGGCTCACTCTCCTGCCTGGGCCAGCCGGTGTAGCCCCAGCCACTGGGAGCCAGCTCACGGTGCCTGTGCAGCCCCGCCCTGTGTGACACCTGCAGGTGGCGTGGCTGACCGTGGTTAGAATATTCACACCGTGGAAACAGGCAAACACCACCAATCCAGCATGTGTCCCCGGAAAGCCGGCTGTCAGCCATGCCCGACACATCCCTTCCTGGAAGGGTGTCATTCTCATGGAGGCCTGGGGAGGGTGCTGGCTCCAGGAGCAGACGGCTGTGCACAAGGCAGCCTGAGTGTCTGCCGTGTGCCGGGAGCTGGGCTGGCCCTCCTGGGGGCAGAGGTCACAAGAGTGGGAGAGCACGGGGCTGGGCCGGGTGTGGAGGGCATTAGGGACGGGGTCCACCTACCTTGCCTGCCCCCATCCTTGCAGACGAGGACACCAGGGCCCAGAGAGGCTGAGCCAGGTTCCCCAGGCCCCACAGCCTGAATTGAGCCAGGTCCTTGGCGCTGAGCCCACCCTGCCCAAGGCCCTCGGTTTCCCCGTCTGAAAGTGGGGGTCCCGGCAGGGTGGGCTGTGACAAAGTGGGTGAGGCCCCAAGCGCTGGCGGCTGCTGCTCCTGCTGTTTCTAGGGGCCCGAGGTGGGGGCCAGGTGCCACAGCTCATCCATCTCTGTCGGTGGGCAGGCCGGGGTCCCAGGGGCTCCCGGGGCCAAGCCACGTGGGCAGCAGGCAGGGCCACCCTCTCATAGAGCATCTCCTGGGGCCCCTGGGCTTCCATGCAGAGGCGGACCCAGGCGGGGGGCCCTGCCTGGGTGTCACCGCACCAGCTGAGCGCCACCCGCCCTCCCTCCGCAGCCCTGAAGTCGTCGCCGTCCAGGAAGGGCCGCGGCGCCCTGCTGGCCGTCAAGCCTCCGGGGCCCACAGCGGCCTTCTCGGCCAGCCAGATCCCCAGTGAGCGCGAGGACGCCCCATACGACCTGCGGGGCGCCCGAAGCTACCCCACGCTGGAGGACGAAGGTGACCAGCAGGAGTGGTGCATTCGGGACAGGGGCGGGGGGTGCCACTGGGGACGGCGCCGTCCTGGGGGGCTGAGAAGGGAGGGCGCAGGGAGCAAGAGGGCAGTCCAGGGTGAGGACGGGGACCCTGAAGCTGGCCTGACCAGGTGGGAGGGGCTGGATCACAGTCAGCCCCCCCAGTCCAAGATCTGCAGCCACCCAGGGAGGGGGAGGGAGGAGCAGCTGGGACTGAAGGTGCCCCCCGGGGAGGTGACGGCTCCAGTCACATCACTGCAGGTGTGCAGAGACCTGGAGGGTCGCTCCCAGCTCCTAGGGCCAGCGATTCCAGGCAGGGAGGGGTGGGGGAATACCATCAGGGAAGGGAGAAGCAGCATGCAAAGGCCCTGGGGCAGAACATGGAGGAGGCCCGTGCGGCTGGAGCAGAGTGTGCAGGGGGAGAGGGAGGAGGGGAGGGTGGGGGACACAGGGCAGGCAGGGGTTTGGGTTTTAGTTTGAGAGCAGTGGGAAGCTATTGGAAGGCCCTCTTAAAGCTCCCAGGGAGAACGGAGTGTGGGGTGGCAGGTGGGAGCAGGAGGCGTGGGTGGTGGGGGGTGAGCGGAGCTGCAGATGGAGCCGGGAGTCCTCGCAGGGCGGCCGTGGGGGCCTGGCTCCCGCAGGTGCCCACCACCTCGTCCCCACAGGCCGGCCCGACCTCCTGCCCTGCACGCCGCCTTCTTTTGAGGAGGCCACCACCGCCTCCATCGCCACGACCCTGTCGTCCACGTCCCTGTCCATCCCGGAGCGGTCCCCCTCGGAGACATCGGAGCAGCCTCGGTACAGGTGTGCCGACAGAGGTGTCTCCCTGTGCGCACACGGCCCCCCCCCCCCCCCCGCCGCGTCCACCTCCTGCACTCATCCCCCTCCACGCGCCCCCTACCCCCGTGCACCTCCCCCCCGTGCACCTCCCCTGTGTGCATCCCTCTCCACGCGCGCCCCCTCCTCTGCGTTCATCCCCCGCCTCCACGCGCCCCCTCCTCCGCGTGCCCCCCTCGCGTCCACCTCCTCCCTGCACTCATCCCCCTCCGCGCGCCCCCCCCGCGCGCAGCCCCCTTCGCGCCCCTCTTCCGTGCACATCCCCCTCCTCTGCGTGCATCCCCCGCTTCATGCCCTCTTCCCCCGCGCACTCCGCCTCGCGCGCATCCCCCTCCGCGCACCCACTCTGGGTGTGTCCCCGGGAGGAGGGGCGGGGCCTCCCTCACCTGCTCCGCTTGTTTGCATCTCTGCAGGCGGCGCACACAGTCCTCGGGACAGGATGGCCGGTGAGCTGAGACCCCAGACCGCCCTGCGCAGCCCCCTCCACTTCCCCACCCCGGCGCTTCTCTCTGACACCAGGTCGTTCCCCACTGTGTGACCAGTAACACGACTGTCGACTGCCGGGAACAGGGGTTGCTTTCCCTAATTAGTTTTCCGGGGGAAATTCCTGCCGGTTGAAAACAGGTCGTGGCCTGAAGCATCTGGTGGAAAGTGCGTCCCCGCCAGTCCAGCACCCGCTCGAGGGCAGGACCTTTCCGCCCTCGCGTGCTGTGGTCCAGAGGGACTGCATGCTGGCCTGGCAGAATGTTCCGGCCCGCGTACATCAGAACCCCGGAACCAGCCCACCCCCTAGTGCAGGCCCCAGGCAGGCCCATCCGCCCCCAGAAGGGGGGGCAGGAGCCAGACCACCGGTCACTCGTTATGCCCCAGCCGGTCCCAGAGCCGCAGGTGGGCGGTCAGTTGCTGCGCGCTCGCAGCCCAGGCAGGCGTTGCAGCCGGAGGGACAGGCAGGGCTGGGCCCGCTCGCGGCCCCGGTCGAGTGGCACTCGGTGCAGGCTCCCAGCTTCCCGCCGCGAGTGACAGCCGAGGTGCTCCCGGGAATGGAGGGAAACTGAAGCGTGGCTTCCGGTTGCCTCCAGACCCCAGGAGGAGGCGCACGCGGAGGAGGACCTGCAGCAGATCACGGTGCAGGTGGAGCCCGCGTGCAGCGTGGAGATCGTGGTCCCCAAGGAGGAGGATGCGGGGTGAGTGACCCTGGACGCCACTGTCCCATGGCCGGTTCCTGCACGGGACCCCTGCTCTGATTCCATTGGTCGAGGGAGGTCACATGACTGGCTGGCAGCAAGGCAGGCTGGGAAATGTAGTCCGCCTCAGGAGCAGGGGCTAGGCGTCAAGGCTTCTGGTGCTGGGTGTTGGGGTGTCAGAAGGACAGAGGTCCCCGCACAGGAGGTCCGGGGGGCGTCGTAGGACCCCTGGTGGTCCCTCTCTGTAGCTCTTGGCCTCCCGTGGCTGGCAGGAGGGTCATGTCATTACCCGTGCTTGCAAAGACCCTCTCGTTGACCTGGTCCACGGCCTCCTGTTGTGCTTTGTTTTCATTTCATTTGCTGTAACTTGCCAGTAATTGCTTCTTTCTAGATCTTTCTGCTTTGTTTTCTGCCTGTTTCCTCTTTTCCAGTGTAGGTTGAGTGCCTGAGTTCCCCCTTTTTTTCCTTTAATGTTGAGGTGCTGAAGATAATGCATTTTCCTCTGCGCACTGCTTTTGCTGTGTCCCCTGGGTCTTTTTTTTTCCCCCGCTTGGGTATAGAAAGTTGAATCTTTATTATTTCTTATTTTATTTTTGTTTGTTTATTTATTTTTTTGGCGAGGAAGATTGGCCCTGAACTACCATCTGTTGCCAGTCTTCCTCTCTTTTTTTTTCCTTCCCAAAGCCCCAGCGCATAGCTGTATATCTTAGTTGTAGGTCACTCTAGTTCCTCCTGTGGGATGCCGCTACAGCGTGGCTTGATGAGCAGTGCCATGTCCACGCCCAGGATCAAAACTGGTGAACCTGGCTGCCAAAGCGGAGCGGGCAAACTTAACCTCTCTGCCACGGGTGGGCCCCTCCCTGGGTCTTAATGTGAAGCTGGCATCCGTGTGGGTACTTAGTGATCTCTTTTCATTTCCCCTTTGACGTAAGGCAGTGGCTTTCAACCATCTGGGGGCAACTCTGCCCCCCAGGGTACTAGGCGATGTCTGGGGACATCTGTGGTTGTCACCACTGGGGGTGCTCCTGGCATCGAGTGGGTGGGGCCAGGGATGCAGCTCAACCCCGCCAGAGTGCCCAGCTCGGCCCCCCCAGAGGATAGCCCGGCCCTGATGTCAGCAGTGCTAAGGGGGGACCCTGGACTGTCTTATTTATGAGTCTCTCTCAACTTCTGAGCTTTTAAGGATTTTTTTCTTTACCTTTTTAGTGCGTATTTTCAATTTTATTAGATTTTGAGTTGAAGAAAGTGGCCTAAAAAATGTATTTTTTTAAAAAAAAACGGATTAAAGTCTTGGTGGTCAGGTATACATCTGTTCTGTCTGATGTCCCTGGACAAGGGGGAGAGACGTGCGTTCTCTGCCAGGGGTGGAAGTTCCCTGCAGCCTGTTCTTTCGCCCCTGCTGACAGGAGTCAGTCGGTTCCTTTATGTCCGTCCTTATGTCTCATGTTTGGTCTGTTTAATTCCGTAATTGCATTGTTGTCAAATTTGTCTTGACTTTCTTGTAATCATTGCTTTATGCGTTTCTTAGAATTTCTGTTCTGTTTCAAGAGACCTTACTCAGCCATGACGGCACACATTCCCCGGCCGTGCTTTGCCACAAAGAGTTTCTTTCACACACTCACGTGCACACACGCCGGTTCCTGCCACTGTCGGCCTTTTTCCTTAGTCTGGCGGTGTGAAGTGCCCCTCAGCCTCTCCCAGGAGTACAGCGTGACCCCCGGCGTGGCTGGAGGGCAGGTCCTGCCCAGTTAGAGATGTTCCATCACCTCAGACCTTGTCATGTTGTTCTCGAGACGAAAATCACACGCCGGTCACGTTCTTTGCCTCTCTGAGCCTCAGTTTCCTCATCTGTCACATGGGACGGCAGCAGCCCCCCCGCCCCAATGGACATTCCGTGGGTTAATTCACGCAAGGCTCTTGAACAGGTCTCAGTCGCAGCAAGTACTCGATGAAGAGGGGTTCTGACCCCACGGTGGGGGTGCCGTGCGTCCCCACTTTACAGATGGGGAAACTGAGGCTCAAGGAGGAACGTGATCTCCAGGGTGGCACAGCGTGAGTGGTGAGGCAGGATCTGCCCCTGGGGTGTGCGCCTGAGCAGAGCGCAGGCTAGAGCCTCGCCTGGTGGCGGGTGTGCCCAGCGGTCCCTGGGTCCGGGCAGTGTTGGGGTTCCGTTTGCCTTGCGTGTAGACAGGAGTGTATCAGGATACGCCGCCATAGCCAGGCTTCCCGAGTCTCATCTCTGGGATGAGGGAGGGAGGGAGGGTCCGGGCATGGGCAGGGGGAGTCGGTACTGTCCCCAGCTCTGCCCCAGGATGCCCGTGTCCTGCCTGTGTCCCCAGCGTGGAGGCTGGCCCAGCCTGCGCCTCTGCCGCCGTCGAAGCGGAGACCGCCAGCCAGGCCTCGGAGCCCGCCAGCCAGGCCTCGGACGAGGAGGACGCGCCCGCCACGGACATCTACTTCGTAAGTCCCCCGGGCCCCCAACCAGACACACTCACACATGCACACACACTCACACGCCACACACATGGACATATTGCACAGACGCAATCACATGTGTGTGCGTGTGCTTAGACGAAGGCACTCACGCTGACACATCACATGCACATGCTGGCACGTTCAGGCGCACGTGTGTGCTCAGCCGTCAACACTGACGTCCATGTCCTGCATGGCTACCGGCGTGCTCACAGTGTGCTCTCGCACGCTCACACCTGCACACGCTCACACCTGCACATGGTCACACTCACATGCTGTGGGAGCACCCCACCCCGTGCCAGCCAGGCCAGGCCATCACGAGACCCCAAACAGCCCCGGCCCCCCTCCCTAGGCCTTGTGGCCATGCCTGGCCGCAGCCAGCCCAGGTCCCTGGGAGACACCTGGAGTGCCCAGTGCTCAGCCCCCGGGGAGGCCCAGGCTGGGTCCATGGGCGGCCGGGCCAGTGTGATGGGCTGTGTGACATACGTCTGCTCCCACTGGGTTGTGACTGTAGCTGGGGGGCTTGTCCTGGAGGACAGCGCACTGAGGGCCAGGTGGGCGTCACGCTGCCAACTGCATGGGCCGGGGACACAGCTGCTGCTGGATGGGTGGGGTCTGTCGGAGCAGGACGGGGTCTGCCCCAGGGACCTGGGACCTCCCTCCAGAGTGGGGGCCACATGCCTCCCGCAGGCACATGGGTGAGATGAGCCGGGACCCCAGGGGAGGCAGGTGCGGGGCGACCAGAGAGCCCACTGAGTCTGGTCCAGTGGCCCCCGACAGAGGGTCCTGGGGCGCATCCCTGGGGGGCCCTGCTCAGGGGTCAGATGGTCCTGGTTACAACAGAGAGGGCCAGATGCTGCAGCCCAGCGGCCATCCTCTTCCAGCCCCCCAGGAAGGAGAGCCGGCCGGGGCCCCACCATCGCTAACTGACACCTCCCCGCTCTCTGTCTCGGGCCGGTGCTGCCAGGTTGCGGGGCCCCTGGCTTGGAGAAGTAACAGGGCCCCATATGCACGTCCCCCTCGGTGTCAACTCCCCGTCCCTGGGGCTTGGTTCGTGTCCTGGCCTCTGGATGGGTGTGTGAGGGGCTGGGGGGGGTGGCTGTGTCCTGTCATGTGCGCCTGGTCCTGATCCCTACGAGGGCGGCTGGGCCCCACGGGCGGCAGAGGACGTAGCGCCCACCGTGGGACCCCACCGCCCCAGACCCGCCCCCGCTTGGCCCCCTGCCCACCCAGCACCCTCCGCCTTCCACCCGCTCCTGTCGCCTCATCCTCTGCTGTCTCCTTCCTCCCCGCCGCCCGCCGCCAGTTCAGCGATGGGAGGTACTGGATTTACTCTCCGCGGCGTCGCCGTCTGCGGGCCGTGACGCTGAGCTCCTCGGGGACTGTAAGTGACCGCCACAGGCCTCCAGGGAGCCCAGCCCCGCCCGCGCCCTGAGAGGGGCCTCGGGGAAGGCGGCCGTGCGGGCGCGTCCCACGGGGATGTCACTGAGTCCCCTCTGAGGCCTGCAGGCGCTCAACCGGGGGCAGGGGGCCCAGCCTGGCCACAGGGGGGGGGGTCACATATGACCCCCAGCCCCGGGCCACCTCCCCTCGTCCCCACTCTCCTGAGACGGGGACGTGTCAGGCGGACACTCGTCCCACGTCAGACCTGGCTGCTGAGGGCTCCTCAGGGCCCTCTGCCCTGCTGAAGGGACAGGCACACGGGTCAGTGAGGGGTCGAGAGCCGGGCTCCTACTGCAGGAGACAGGGCCTGGGCTCCCCACGCTTGTTTCACACATGGAGAAATAGAGGCCTCGGCTCCCCAGGGAGCTCCTGAAAGAGCATGGTTTAGACAAAATCTTGGGCCCAAACCCCCAGTCGGCCCTGTGTCCAGGGGACAGTTGTCGACCCAGTGTGCTCAGGACGCTACATGGATAGCCTGTAGTGATAGCACTGTCACTGCCTCCTGTTATCATCATGAGCAGTAAATGCACAGCCCAGAGAGGTCAGGGAGCCTGCCTAGAGCCACACAGCACAGGAAAAGGCAGAACGGGGGAAGACCTGCAGTGAGAGCCTGTCTTCGAGGCAAGGCCCATCAGCAAACCCTTTTGGGCGTCACTGGGTGTCAGGCGCTGCCGAGCAGCCCAGGAAGTGGGGACCACGGCCCCAGCGCCCCCATGCTCTGTCCAGCAGAGACGGGGGACCACACCCCGGAAGTGATCTGGAGCAGGGGCCACATGGTGGCCCCAGGGGCCATGGAGGGTGGGGAGCAGTTTGCAAGGCGGTCTGGAGAGGGGTCGGCAGATCTTGAGCGACACCTTGGGTGTGCAGGCACAAGATGGGGGCACGGTCTGGGGAGGGGCGCCGTGGACGCAGGAGCGGGCAGGCTGGCCGGGAGGAGGGGAGCCGCGAGACAAAGGCTGGACCCTGAGGCCCGCAGACGGGTCACCGCAGGATCACCATGGGCTCTGGGTCCCTCCCTCCTGCAGGCCCGGCTCTTACAGGGCTCGTTGGGGCCTCCCGCTGTCCCACCTCTGAGCCCCACGGGCCGCTGGCCCGGCATCAAGCACATGCAGTGGCCACCCTGGGCTGGGCGCTGGGCACAGGCGGCCCCCCAGACGGTGGGCAGAACAGGTGGGCCCTGTGCTGGGGTCTCGTCCTGCTGCTCCATGGTGAACGTGCGAGTCCATTCGCAGAGGGACACAGTCCTCCTGGTGTGCGGCCCGGGGCTGAGCACGAGGCTTGAACGAGCTCTCCTGGGGGCCCATGTGGCCCTGGGGGCCTGGCCTGTGAGGGCAGGAGGGGTCGGGTGGAGCGGGCCCAGGGAGCCCGAGGCCCGGAGAGGCCGCGGGAGCCAAGAGCCGGGGCGGGTCCCCCGAGAGCACAGCGGCCACGGCGGGCGCTTCTTCCCGGGCTGTGCAGACACCAGCTGTGCAGAGGCGAGGCTGGTCGTGTAACCGTGACCGGACAGGGGCGGTCTGGGGGGTGCTGGCTGTGGCCGTCATGGGTTTAGGGGCCAAGGGATGCTCAGGGGATGTGGCCAGGGCAGGTATGTGCCCAGGCCCCTCTCCAGGCAGAGGCCGGCCAGCTAGGGCAGTGGTCCCCAGGCTGAGGGGGTGGAGGGGGAGCCCCCAGGACGCCGCCAGGGCCCGGGAGGGTCTCGGGAGGGACAGGGTGGGTCTGGAGGAACGTGCGTCCTCCCCACAGTTTCACCCAGGCTCAGGGCGGCCCCTCAGCGGCCAGACCCGGTTCTGCCTGTCCCAGGCCTGGACCTGGGTCCCTGCTGCACCCGCGTCCCAGGACAGCGTCCCCGGGCTCTTGGAGGGGGTGGGGAGGCCTCTGCTGCTGGCTCCCTCGGTGGCCTGTGCCTCGGTCTCTCCTGAGCAAGTCGTGAAAGGTCTCCAGGCCATGGAGAGATGGGCTCCATCCCCCACCCAGGACACCCTGGGAGGGTCCCAAGGGTCCTGCCCCAGTAGGATCCGCGGGGCCGGGGTGTCCCCGTGGGCGGAGTGGGCAGTGGGGAGAGAGGACGGCAGAGGAGGCCCGGCCCCTGCCCCTCCTGCCACGCTGCGCCTGCCCTGCTGTGACTCCCGGCTTCCTGCCGCCACCTGCTCGGCCGCAGACCCGTCCCCGCCCGCCGCACCGGGCGCTGGGTGGGCACAGGTCCCGTCGGGAGAGGCCGCCGCCCACTGTCCGCATCGGGTCCGCCTCTTTTATTTCTGTTTCTTCCTTCTCCCTCTGCCTCTCGCCTCCTCGCACCCTGCTCTTCTTCTGCGCCCTTCCTGCACGCGCCCGCCCGCCCTGCAGCCCACCGACGAGAGGAGCTGGGTGTACTCCCCGCTCCACTATAGCGCCCCGGCCCGCCCGGCCTCCGACGGCGAGAGCGACACAGTAAGTGCGCCAGCCCGGCCCCCACCCCGGGCCTCGGCCACAGAGGGCCCAAGAGCCCGGCCCCCAGACACCCCAGGGACAGAAACTGAGGGGAAACTGAGGCCTGGGGCGGGAGGGGCAGGCCAGCCCGTGGCTCCACGGGGTAAGTATCCTGGGGCCTGTATCTGGCCCTCTGGGCACGAGGGGACCCTGGCCTGAGCATCGGCGCAGGGCCAGGCCCGGCGGGTGGGGGTCCGGCCCCCTGTGCGCCCGCCCTCAGCCGCCCCTCTTGTCTCCTGCAGTAACTTCCGTGCAGCCGCCCACCAGAGCCGAGCGCCCGCTGCTGCCCTGGCCGTTCAGAGGCGCCGCCTGCCCAGCCCCCGCCGCCCAGCCCCGCGGGACCTCGGCCCCCCGCGCCCTCCCCCGACGGCGGCCTGGCACTCCACTGCAGGGCGACCGGGCGAGCGCCCCGGCCAGCAACTCCCTGCGCCTGTGATACTGTGACCCCTGAGCTCCCGGTTCTATTTATTCTGGGCCCTTCCTCTCCGCACAGATGCAGCACACGTGTGTTTTTTTTTCTAAAAAAGAAAAAAAAAGAAAAAAAAACCCAGCAGAAAAACGAGGAATCCATTCCACTGCACTTTTGGGTCTTCGCTGTGCTTGCATGTGTCCCGCGAGGGAACGGGCCCGTTGGCGTGGGGACCTGCGCCTGGCGGCCTGGCCGCCCTGGCTGAGTCCGTGCTCCTACTCTCGGCCGGCCCGGTCCCCTCTCTCCATCTTGGACAGAGCGCCTCGGAGGGAAGGGCCACCAAGTCCCCGCTGGTGCCAGGCCCACCGCGCACGGCAGGCGCTCTCGCTCAGGCGTGCAGCCGGGCGCCGGACATCCGTCCTTGGGGATGGCTGACCAGTGGCCTGAGGACAGCCCTCCACCCTTCCCGCCACCCTCACCTCCCACGTGACCTGTGAGCAGGGATCCCAGGAGGCGACTGGAATCGCCAGGTGGACGCCCGGCCGCCCCCTCTCGGTGGAGCTGGAGGCTGTGGACTTCTTTCTCCTGCCAGCGTGGCCCTCTCGGGATCCAGAAGACAGGGCCCAAGGGACAGAGGTGGCAGCTGGCCCTCAGCTCGGGACACGCGGCTTCCAGAGCACTCGTGTCCTGGAGCCTGACCCCCTCGGCCAGGCCACCCGGCCCCAAGGGCCAGATCCCTCACCAGTAGGCGCTCGCCCCAGGACCAGGTGGACGTCCTCTCTTTATTAAGCGATGGCAATGCCTATGCTGATTGAAGGATAGGAAAAGAAATGCCTCATGAAAACCTTTTTTTTTTTTGGTTTGGCATCTTCAGCAAGGACAGCGCCACTGGGCCCAGAGACCCGCGGGGTGGCCACCAGGGGACCCCGCCCTGTGTCCCACACAGCTCTGCAGAGCCTCCCGCCCCCACGCCTTCCTGAGGGGTGACATGTCGGGATGGTGCTCCCTGCCCACTTGGCGCACGTGGGAGGAGCTGGGAGCCGGCTCGGAGCGGAAGCCGCACCTTCTGGAAGAATTTCTCCCCAGCCCTCGTCTCCCTGATGGAGCCTGAGACAGCTGGAGGAGACGCCGAGCCAGGAATTCGATTTCTCGAGTGCGTTGCAGGCCCTGCCACTCCGTCCTGCCGTGTGGGTGCCTCCTCATCTCCCCTCGTGCAGCCGGCTCCGTGCGCCCGGAGGGAACCTGGTGGCCTGGCTGTGCCCAGGACCCTCCCCGTGCTGTCGGCAGGGGCGGCACCCCGGCGCTGAGCGGGGCCCTGGGGACCCTCAGGGGACCCATCAAAGCAAGCCTGCAGGTGTCCCGGCTGGAAACAAAGCGACATCCTCTTCCTCCTGCCTGGGGAGCCTTTGTCCGGACCGGGGGCGTCCTGCCTGGATTTCAGACAGCGCCAGGCCACATGCCATGCATCGCCAGTCCATCCCTGTCCCGCTGCCCACTGACAGGGAGCCAGGCTAAGCGGGCAGAGGTCTGAAGGCACATGAATCTGGCAGACTAACGGGGATGGCTGTGTCACCACAAGCGGACATTGGAGTCCCCACCCAGGGGCCGGGCGCCCGAGACATCGTGAGCCCGTGGGGATGACCGGAGCAGCGGGCACACTCCGGAGCGGAAGGCCCCGCGTCCAGGGCGTGCTCAGCCACCCAGAGCTCGAGGAGCGAGGAGGGGAGCCGCCCTGTGGCCATCAGGCCCGCTGTCCGTGCCAGGCCCCTCGGGCTTTCCCAAGCAAATCACAGAACTAGCCCGAACTAGCACGCCGGCCGGATGCTGGCTTGTGGGAGAGCTTCGCAGACCTCCTGGAGGTCGTGACGTTCCTCTTTCTGTGTTAAGTCATGAGGAGGCCGTTGGAGACCTGTTTGTGTTGGCTGCATCCCTCGGCCCCTTTCAGAAAACTGTTACACGGATGCTCAGCTGTCCGCAGGCTGTGCTGACCGGGGGCGCTGGCCTGGTCTTCTGGGGTGGGAGCGGGAAGGCAAGACCCTATTTATAATGTGTAGTGAACTCCTGGCCTTCCGCAGACCCCCGGCGGGGATGGCCCTGGACCCACCCAGCTGTCACCCCCCCCCCCACTGGACACCCCATTCCCTCCTGGCTCGTCCCCCATGGCTGCTGTTGCGGGGCAGCTGGGCAGCGTCTGACCGCTGTACCACGAAGACAGGAGGCGTTTTCTGAGACTGACAAAGTGGAACCTTCCGTTGTCCCCTGCCAGCCTGTGTCCTCTGCCTCCTCTCGTCCCCGTCTCTCCACCACCTGGCTCAGTGCAATATTCCCGTCCCCCGGGGGGCGGGGGGCGGTCCCTTGCCATGGTCCTGTTGCCACAGCCCCTTGGTCCCCACCCAGAATGAATGAGCGCCCTCTGGTGGTCCAGTTGCATCGCCTGTCCCCCGTCCCCCATCTCCCCCCACCCCCCAATCTCGTTTTTATGGCCGAACTGATTTCGAAACACAACAAAACCTGCAAACCTTGTGTGTCTTAATTCTCACCGGGGGTCCGTGTGCTCAGCCCCCGTGGTCTGGTGTGTGACAATCGGGAGCGCGGCCTCCTCGGGCACAGGATGCCGTCTCGCTCAAACCCAGAGCCCTGGGCCCCTCTGTAACCATGCAGCCTCTGCTGGCCCCGAGTAACACTCGTATGCAGCCCCGGACCCCATCCCCGCCGCCCCTCCCTCTTTTTACGTTCAAGAGATCTCTAATAAACCGGATAATAAGCATCAGCCACCTCCCTCTGCCTCTGTCTGCGGTCGGGGGTCCCACTGGGAGTTTAAGGACTGATGTTGACCGAGAGCAGAAAGAAACCTTAGTAAGAATTAACGGCAACGACAGGACCCAAATGCCTCAACAGCTGTGGCCTTCAGCTTCCAGCTCAGCCCAGAAAACTTTTAAAAGCTTCTGACATCAGTGCAGCCCGGCTCAAAGCAACAAACACTCCTCAGAGTTTGTGTTTGTCCTGCCAAAGTCGCTCAGGTTGAGTAATGCGTGGACCCCTTTTAAGGGGAAAGTATTTCTCCCAACTTGAGAAACACGGCACAGAGTCAGGTCCTGTCTGTAAGCGAGCCTCTGCAAATGCAGTCGTAATCGCAGATGCAGACGCAGAACGGCACCGCTCATTTATGAACCAGATGCGCAGATGATCTGGAACGTGCCTGCCTTCTGTTCAAAGATTAGTATTCAAATACCCACAGATGGGTCTGCAGTTTGAGAGTCACAAGCCAGGCCCCCATCATGTCACGTTTGGAGCCATCCCATCGCCAGGGCAACCCACATCCCATGACAATCAGGGGTCATTAGCAGGGGTGGCTGGGCATGGTCTGACGTTTCCTTTGGCAGGTTCGCCGCCACCCCCACCTTGTGCCTTGGCGCCAAGCAGAAGCAGAGCATACAAAGCCAGCATTTGGGGTGGGGTATGAAGTTGTTTTTTAAGACAAACATTTAAAGAGTTAGCTTAAATTAAAACATTGAGTACCATCCTCTGGGGTGGGCTGGGGGAGCTCAGAGCAGGACTTGAGTCCTTCAGATCTCCAGGCCACCAGGCCTGTGCCCTGTGGTCCATCCTTTTCACCAGCCCCAAGGGGACCCCACCTAACAGCCAGCCCCTCCTTCATACCTCCCGCGGCTCCCCAACACCCACAGAACGAAGCTGGACCAGCTCCACGCTGCCTCCTTGGGGTCGGGGAGGCGGGTGTCAAAAGCGACTTTCGCTCTCTGAGCCTGTTTCCCCATCTATAAAATGGGTCGATGGGCCACTCAGGGAGTTAGCCAAGTCTTTTTCTTAAATAAGCTTAACCCCTGAAATACCATGATGGTGACTCATAGGTCAGCCCAACATCTAAGGCTTTTCAGTCTCCAGCCCAGCTCCCACCCCTCGCCCACTTGAGCAGTGTGGTCTCGAACCTACTGCGGTGCTGGAGCTTCCCCGCCTACACCGGCCAAGAGACCTCGCTCTCCGGACCACGCCTCCCGTTGGCCCCGCCCCGACCACGCCTCCCATTGGCTCCGCCCGGGCCACGCCTCCCGTTGGCCCCGCCTCCTAGGCCCCGCCCACGCCGGCTCCGCTTCCTCCCTGGGCCTTCTTCTTGTTGGTCCCGCCTCCCCAGGCCCCGCCCCACTCGCAGTTCCTGGTTTGCACTTTGCTCCGCCCACAGCTCCTCGGGCGCCCTGTGGCGCGAGGACCCACATGGGGCTGCCCCTAGCATTGCCTGAACCAGGAGTCTCCCATCCTGGAGGCTACAGTCCGGCCGGAGTCCATCAGGCTGGCCTCGCTTGCGGGCGAAGGAGAGGTTCGGGGCGTCGGAGTCCCCGCTGGATAAGGCAGCGGCGTGGGTTCTTATGTCCAGGCTCAGGCGCGGACGGGGCAGCCCGGCGCGCGCCGCGGGCGAGGAAGGACCCCCGACGCAAGACCCCAGCAATTTGTGTCAGCAGCGCCGCCGCCGCCACCGTCCCAGCCGATGGGTCGGGATACGCGCTCGCGCTCGCGCTCGCGCTCGGCGGGTCGCAGGGGCCGAAGGCAGCGGAGCCGGAGCGGGAGTCGGAGCCGAAGTCGCAGCGGGAGCCATGGGCGGCGAAACCGGCGGCGCCGGGACGACGAGGGGCGGCGCAGGCGGAGGCGGCGGAGCCGGGAGCGCAGGTTGGGGTCCGGCTCCTGCCCTCGGGGAGCCGGGAGACCCCGGAGCTCGTCAGGGAGGGCTTCCCGGAGAAGGGGGCGTCGGGCGGCGAGAGGCGCCCCGGGCCGGGCACCCGGTGGTTGGGGGACAGCGAGGAGAGTAGGAGATGGGGTCGTGCAGAGTCCTGTGGACGGTGCTGAAGGGTTTGGCGGCTACGGAGGGAACTGGGGAGCCGTGGGGGGATTTTGAGCAAGGGAGTGACACGGTCTTACGAAATTCAAATTTCGGTCCAGACATGAAGTCTTATTGGAACACGGCCGTGCCTGTTTGTCCGTGTCCCGGCCGTGGCTTCTTTTGCACTTTGTCACGACAGCAGAATTGAGTGAGTGGGTCGGTCGGTCTGGCCCTTGGCAGAAAAGGGTTTGCCGACTCCGGTTTAAGCCCCTGGTGTTGGTGTGTTCGCACTGGATCACGTGTAGTCTTGTTATTATCATCTTTGTATGTTTTCCATCGGCTGTTTGAATTATTCCCAAGAGGCAGCCGCCCTGGATCCGTAATTAGAGTCGATGTCGTTTATGAAAACTTGCTCAAGTTTGTAGCCTGTTTTGAAGGACTCCAAAGTAATGGGTATTCGCAGCGTAGGACTTTTGACGTGAGCTTAAGAGATGGAGCATTTAACAAGATAAAGACAGATTTGTTTGGTCCTCTACACATTCAGAGGCCCTCAAACATTAAAGAATCTATTTTGAGGGCTCACACATTCTGTTCCCTCCCTTCGCTGCCCTTCCCTGGCTCTGTTCCTGCCAGTCTTACTCCAGTTCACTCCCACCCGTCCTCTAGGACCATTTAAACGCCACCTTCTCCTGGAAGTCCTTCTTTGACAGCTTGGACAAAAGGGGTCGTCTGGGTCGTGTTCTTGTAGCATCACCAGCCCCGGCCCGCCTCCGTGCCCTCACCCCTTCCCGCCCTCTCTGCCCGCCTCGCTCACTCTGCTCCCGGCACTCAGGCCTCCTCGCTGCTGCTTGAACATGCCAAGTCATTTCCTGCCCCAGGGCCTTTGCTCTTGCTGTGCCCTCTGCCTGGATCGCTCTTCCCACGTCTCCCCGTAGCTTCCTCCAGAGTTGCGTCCTCAGAGAGGTTCTCGCTGACCTCTCCATGCCCTAAGGCTGTGTCCTGTTCTTTGTGGCTCCATCTCTGTCACACTGTGTGTGTGTTTCGTTGTTTACGTGAGCCCCACAAAGGCAGGCACCATCAAGGGTTTGGTCCCTGCTGTGTCCCCAGAACCTGAAACAGCGCCTGGAACACAGCAGGCGCTCAGGAACCCGTGTCGAATCGCATGGATGAATGAGCAGCCCTTTGTGGATTCCTCCGCAGGTCGGACTCGGAGGAGGAGCGGTGGCCGCGGCGAGGGAGGCAGAGCCGCAGCCCCCCGCCACCCCGGTGGCACTCGCAGGACCGGTCCTCTCAGTCCGACTCTGGTGACGAGCGGCAGCAGCAGCGGGGCCGGTGGGCTCGCGGCCGGCGGACGCGCTCCTGGTCGCCCAGCTCCTCGGCGTCCAGCTCGGCCTCGGCGGAGCGCGCGCAGAGCCCCCGGGCGGCGGCGCTGAGCCAGCAGCAGAGGCTGCAGGAGCGGCTGCGGCTGCGCGAGGAGCGGAAGCAGCAGGAGGAGCTGCGGAAGGCCTTCGAGACGCCCGAGGAGAAGCGCGCGCGGCGGCTGGCCAAGAAGGAGGCCAAGGAGCGCAAGAAGCGGGAGAAGATGGGCTGGGGCGAGGAGTACATGGGCTACACCAACACCGACAACCCCTTCGGCGACAACAACCTCCTGGGCACCTTCATCTGGAGCAAGGTGAGCGCGCCCTGAGGCCCGTGGCCTGTGTCGGGGCGCCTGCAAGGCCTCCGCCTCCCCCGTCACTTTGGCTGTGTGCGCGTCACGGCTCCTGTCTCAGGAGACATCACGTGGCTCTGGGCACACTCCAGGTCAGGGGTTGAGCGTGTGCACACGCGCATGCGCACGCACACCAGCTCCTCGTGCTGCATCCCCTGCCCCCTGCAGGGGAGAGTTTCAGGCACCCTTTGCCCAGAAAACCAGCCTACCTCCCAACGTGACACGGGCCCAGGAGGGGATCCCCAAGGATAGATGCCCGGTCACCTCCGAGCCGCCACCTCATTCTCGAGATGGCACTCACACTGATCCCTTACCCGCCAGCCAGGCCCTGGGCTCATGGCTTCCAGCCACAGGCTTTCTCTCACGTTCCGGAGCCAGAAGTCCCAAGTCAGGGTGTCGCCAGAGCCGTGCTCTCCTGGAGGCTCCAGGGGAGGGTCCTGTCTTGCCTCCTTCAGCTCCTGCTGGCTGCTGGTACCCTCGTCACTCCCGTCTCTGCCTGTGGTCACGTGGCCCTCTCCTCTCTGTGTCTCTGTCCACATTCCCCTTTTCTTGTAAGGACACCAGTCGGTGGCTTAGGGCCCAGCCTACTCCAGGACGACCTCGTCTTAACTAATTTCGTCTGCAGAGAGCCTGTTTCTAGATAAGGCCCATTCACAGGCTCCAGGGCTGGGACATGGACATATCCTTCTGGAGGACACAGTTCACCCCGCACAGTGCCCATCAGTGTGGGGGAGGGTGAGAGCAGGCGGGCACGGTCAGAAGCTTTGGCGTCACATGTGTTCCAGGCACAGTTGTTGCCGTTGTCTTGAACACACCAAGCCCATCCCACCCCAGGGCCTTTGCACTTGCTGTTCCTCTGCCTGGAACACTCCCACTTCTTCCCATGGCCGCTGCTGTCTCGCCCTCCATATCTCGGCTGACACAGCCCCTCCTCTGAGAGCCCCTCCTGGCCCCTGTCTCCTGAGCCCCGGCGTTCTTTATCCAGGCCCGGCCCCTCCCTCCCTAGCACTTCACTAACAAATGTGTGTTGTGCATCCGCTGGGTGCTGCATCCCGTGTGGGCCCTGGGCATGTGTGTCAACGAGCAGAGAGACAGAGGGGCCGTCCCTGGGGGTAGCAGTCCTATGGGCAGATGGCCTGTGAGTGAGCACACGAGCCAGGTGGGCAGAGGAGAGAACGCTGTGGCCCAGCCGCGGCATAAGATGAGCAGGTCCAGAAGGTCTAGTCAC